TTGTTTTTTAATTTAATTTAGTTTATATATATTAATTAAAAGCATAGTATATTCTAAATAACAAAGTATTACTAAAAAATATATAAAAAATTGCAAAATATGTGTAAACTTTAATAAAATACTTAATACTTTATATTAATAACTTATACAAAATAATTTTTTATTTACCATAGAGATACACAAAAATTAAATTTAGTAAATAGTTATATATAAATTTTAATATTATATATTGATAACAAATATTTACTATAAATGAGCGAATATCAAAAGTATATGATAACGCATTATACTATTTATGATATTACCTATAAAACCATATGGTTTTTGTTAAAAATAACGGTCTAAACTATTAGAAAAGTTATTAAATTTATTTGAATTTCAAAAGCCCTGCTATTATCAATATTATAAGTAAATAATATAATGTATTAAAGCGATTGTATTTATATTTCTTAATGGTCTTTTTCTCATTTTTATAAAGTCACAAAAAATATAAATTTGAATAATAATCAGACAATTGTCATTTTGGCATTTATGGCAATACTATAGTTAGTGTATGTATACAGTTATTCAATGTATTATTATTTAAAAATATTATTGATAATCACATTTTTATATACATTATGTGTTAGCCGCCCATAAACATTGTCTTTCATATATGAATATTGAATAAAAAATAGATATAACATCTGGTTATTTAATATTGAAAATAGAAGAAAATTCAGTTAAATTAGTTAAAATTAATGTGAAATTTTCATAAGAATTTCATACATAAAATTATAATCAACATATAAAAAATAGTAAGTTTTAATGTATTCAAAATGTTATTTAATACTAGTCATATAATTTAATGTATTTAATAATTTATTTTTTCTAAACAAAAAAAATCATTCATATTTTTATAGACAGATAGTATAACTGTATTTTTGGTGCAATTGTAATTGGTTTATATAWWACTAGTATATAAATTCATAAGATATCATACAACTGATATGAAAATATTACTGTGTTTTTATTGATTTATTTGTTGTTGAATTTCATTAGCTTAATATTAACTTTATGTTTATGAGATTCATTAATGCTAATATGCTGTATATAAATCTATATAAAAATGATAATAAATGCCAGTTTTCTAATCAATTTATTTGTTTTTGTTATGTTTTCCACAAATACACAAATCCACTATTGGTGAAAAAAAGGTAACATAATTATTATACTAATTTTTATAAATGTAAATATATATTACGTTCAATAAGTTATTTTATATTAATAAATAGGTCAAACAATTTCCAAGTTTTGTATTAATAAACATAATTTTATACAAACGTATATAAGTTATAGATAGTAAAAACAATAAAAATGTCTAAATATATAAAAATTTTATTTAATTAGAAATATTATACTCTAAAATAATTTATCAAAACGCTTAATGTATATAAATTTTCAAAAGGATAGCTTCCGGTAATGTTTTGACGGAAATATTGAATTTTTGGGTTTCGTTTAACTAMCGAATTGTAATAACTATATATATATATATATATATATATATATTTAAATTAAATGTCAAAACTAGCAATTATTTCCCACTATTTATGTATATTATTGTAAAAATAAATTGAATTAAATTTTTAAAATATTTTATTCATAATTTTTTTATATCTTTTGTTGTTTACATCGAACTCAATATTCAAATAAAAATTTCATTTATTCATTGACACACAAACTTGCATTATATTATAAAAAAGAGTGAAATCTTATATTTAAAARAATATTTATAAAGTATAATATAATACTATATAACTAAATATTTACGTATTAAAAATGACATCAATATAACAAAATAAAAAATGTTATTATTATTATTATTGTTGTGGTGATGGTATGTCTAAACATTTTTATTTTATTTCAAATTGATTTATTCAAATATATATATATATATATATATAAAATATGCTTATTTATTCAATATTTAGTAGTATATACAGTAAATGCATATTTAATAAAATAAATTAAAAATAATAGTTGCTATACAGTGTTTGATAATTTTTAAAATAATTTTTTCTATTTTTACCAATTTTTACTAAAATAATTTATTAATAATTTATCAAAATTCTTTAGTAGTATTTAAAAAAATATCTTTTAGTAAAAATTCCAGAGATCTAAAATAATAGTCATACATAAAATTAATTAACAAAAAAATCCTTAAAATGATAAACAAAAATATAATGCTTGGTATTTAAATATCATCAAATAAATCATTTTTATACAAACTTTTTATAAAARTAATTTYTACAATACTAATATTAAATAATCAAAAATAAATATTAAAGCATATATTTTAATAAAATCGAAACTTTATTATAATATATTAATAAAAAGTTTTAAGTATTGGTCACTGTTTGTTAAATATATTTATTTATATATTTCTAATGAAAAACTATTACATTCTTATTGAAGCCATTGAATAGCATTGTTGTTAAAGTAATTTATTTTGTTGTAAGGCTTTACTGAATTTCATATGTATTTTATACAGAAATGTGGTTTAATATAAAATTTTGTTTATAAATATTTAATCACTACATACATATACATATACTACACACACATATACTGTATATATATATATTATATATATACTGTATATATGATAATACAGAATATACTTATGTACAGTACATAACTTATGGATATTATAGTAAACATTGGTTTGTTTTTTTCGCTTTAACCACAATTCCCAATGCATTAGGAAATTGAGTTTTGAAATCTATTAAACAGTTTTTGTGTTTCTAATAAATCTAATTAATCAATAGTATAAAACCATTTTATTGTATACTATTATGTTAGATAACAAATACACTATATTTACTATTATATAGAGTATAATAAAATTTAAATATGTACATGATTATTTAATAAAATAAATATTTCAAAATTACAAACAAATTTACAAATAAGAGATATATTTTTAACAACTATACAAATGTTTTACAGAAATAAAATTGTGTAAATACTAGCAAATCGTATGTCTATTGAACTGATAATAATATATTTTAATCAAAGCAGATATACTATACATTCAGTGGTCGTAAAAAGAGTCAAAATTTTTTATATTGAATCCAATGTTTACTATTTTGGTAGTGTTTTTCGGTTCAGTATTTCACTCTTTTTCTTCATTTTATTCTCTCCCTCTCTTTCTCTCTCTCTCTCTCTCTCTCTCTCACTCACTCTCTCACTCACTCTCTCATTCACTCACTTAATATATTTTTGTGTATACATAGAAAAACTAAAATAGATATTCAAGAATTTATTATTACTTTTTTTGGTTACATTTATTCATTATATTTTTGGTGTCATGTATTCAATACACTTCAGTATTGTATTGTTTATAATATTTGTTTGTTTTTTTATTTAAGAATCGAGAAAGTCGTCGATAAAGTCAAGAGAGAAAGAGAGAAAAATATAAATTTTAATATTTATTTTCATAACAAATGCAATACAATAATATTCTGTTTGATAAAAAGTTAAACCTTTAAAAATGAGTGCACTATCACTWTAATGTATATTAACTGCAAAAAAGTTTACTTTTACTATAAATTACTTATAATAGAAAATATATTCTCTGATTTATCTAAGTGAGTGAGAGAGAGAAAGAGAGAGAGAGAGAGAGAGAGAGAGAGAGAGAGAGAGAGATGTTGGGTATGTTTTTTGTATTGAATAAAAACCTATTATTGTTATATATCACGTAATCATTTGATGTTTGGATTACATAATAGAAAAGATGGAGTAGWATTGAAGTTTAGTAAAAAAAATTGTAACAAATTTGTAGATCGTGTGGCTATTTTGGTGTAGAATCTCTTAAATTACTTTCATATTTTTTACTCATGTTTTAACAAAAATTTTGTTATCAATGTTTGTGCTAAACTTTTTGTTCTCTTTTTCTATGCATAACTATTATTATTAAATATATTGGATTTATGGTACTTTCACTATTGCTATAAGAAAAATAACACAAAGTGCTCCCAGAAATGTATATTATATGTTGCAGTGATTACAATATTGGCTTTGAATGATTTCAACGTTGTGTCACATAATTTGATTGCTTTTAGACTGCATATCGTATTTCATTGACTAATACTTTAACAGAATATTCTTAAGTATCATTGAGTTTGATGACAACGTTATTTTTGATGTCTATAATGTTATATTTACTCTATATATAGAAATATATGCATATATAGTATTAAAGTATATATTATTAAAGATTTCAAGATTTAAGATGAATTGATGCTTAAATTTTATACAATATTTATGAGTGCATACTATATTCATTAAATACTTTAGTTATATAATTAGTGCATAAAATAAATATAATTTAATAAAAATAAGTTTTTAATAATTAGTTTTTGTTGATAAGTTTGTTTTTAAGTCTTATGTTAAGTTTGTTAAATTATACAGAATTAATATAATAATTAAAATTAGAATCCTTATTATAATAATTAATATATGATTATATAATAAATAAAATAATAAACACATATTTGAAGATTTATTTTGAATAATCTCACAGTATTTATTATTTTTAACAAATGTATCTATTTTTACCACAAAATTATTAGAATGTTTATATAAATATATATTTTAGTTACTTTTCATTGCTTAATGTAATTATAACACATATATAATTTAAACTACAATTAAATCTTTTAATAAGCATATTAATATGCATTGTATTTTTCAAAACAAATTCATAAATTAAAACCAGWATAAAATAATAATTATTTTAATACATATTTTTAGATCCAATTTTAAGAATAATTTTTAATTAAATAACTAAATTAATGTAAAATATTATTCATAATCATTTTAACAAAGATTAATAATATAAACCAATAAATTACTAATTAAAATGTTATAACATTAACAGTGAACTCATTTTTAAATTATTGTCTCTCATAAACAAAATTACTAATAATATAAAAGTATAAATGATATGAATTAAAATATCATACCTTTGCCGCATTGGAAGAGTACGGCTCATCAAATAAGAGCCATATTTTAGGCTTAAGTTTCTGCCAACAAGACATCCTTCCGGACAGATAGTCCTCTTCGTGACCAAACTTTCGGGCCAACTCTTCTCCCGTTAATTTGTCTGAATCAATGTCCAACGTCTCCAGTATGGCCAGTGTCTGCTGTGTGTCCCTATGGCACGTGTATGTCATCCAACAGCACGGCTCGACCTGAAATAATGATAATAATATTAATATTAATATAAAATTTTTAGCAACAAATAGACATAACTAATGAAAACTAGACTTTTAGATAAACATAATTAAACAATTCTCAATAGATTTCACATAATAATAATAATAACAATATAAATATATCATTTTCTCATTTGCGTTTACATTATAATATTTAACACATTAATAATTTATTGTATTTAAACAAATTGTCATAAAACCAGCAAAATTTACAAACAAAAYAAAAATAAATATTGCTATATATTTTATCATTTTTAATAATAACAATAATTAATGTACAATAATATAATTTTTGTTTTACTTTTAAAACATTTCAGCAAATATTTGTAAAAATACTTTTGGATTTTATTTTATTATTAAAACACATCTAAATCTAAACACAAGTATAAATGTATTTTGTGATAACAATAAACACATTAATCATTTAGCTTTTATTTATATTTAATATTCTTTTTTATTTTATATTTAATATAAAAATAGTATTAAATATAAACTATAAAAATTATTTAATAGGTTTTATGTCTTAACGTCTGAAACCTTTAATTTTTTAGCATTTTTTTATTAAAGTTATTTTTCTCTTATTTTTTGTTTTATTTATTTATTTTTTCAGTAAAATGTCATCCAATAAGATGTCACTTAATGGTGTGGCTTATAATGGATTGTCGGGTACTTAAAACTGCTTTAACTCCAGAATTCAGGCCTAAACTAATGCTAATGAATGACTTTAATCTATTTTATCAATACTTTTTAAAACAACACACAAATAGCAAAAGAATATATTATTATAATAACTATTTATTTATATTTAATATTTATTTATTTATTTATTAATCAAAAACCATAAGTTTAGAAATGCTATAATGATTAGCAATTAATATACTGTACTAAATGTAAACTCTCTTTATTTACTGTATATTAAGCATAACATAACACAATCCAACAATCCTTTTAGCAAAAATAATATCAAATACAAGATATTTAGGGATTAACTCATAAATAAATCAATCAATGTTTAGATACTCGAGATTTGTTAGCTATGTTTGTCATTAATTACAAAGGCTTTGCAATTACACAAACATTACAGGTCTTACTTGATTGGCGTCGAGTCCCCAAAACTCAAGTTCCTCTTCAAATAGTGGTCCGCATACGTTGGTCGGGTAATGTAGTTTACCGGTGCGATAATAGTTTAGTATTTGTGCAAAAACTCCGGGATGTCTGTCAAAAAAGTATTCGTTGAGCACCGGGTCGTAGTTGGCCAGTGCTTCGGTAAGTCGGGACAGTCGAGTGGCCGGAATTTTGCGCAAAGTATTCTTATATGTCTCAAACCTAATGCCCCCCACATTCAGTATAACCCGATTGTCGAGATCGGCGACCGTCCGGTTGAATGTTTGCGCGTACATTGAGACCACTGATGCACTTATAGACCCTAACAATGGCTTAATCACCGATTGAAACACATATAACACAAATAATAACAATTTGTATGATATAAATATCAATAGTAATGACGATAACAATATTTCGATGTCATTAAGCATATATGTAATCAATTCATTAATAATTTTAATTCAGTATTTATTATTATTATTATTATTAATATTATATTATAAATTGTACCAATAAATTATTATTATTATTGGCATATCGATTATTATAGTAATTATCAAAAATGTTTATTTTAAAGTGTTGAGCACCATTAATGAAAGTATAGTTGAGATCACCTATAAATAAATTAGACAATAAAATTGTAATCATAAATATATTTAAATATTATATATGCAATATATTCTGTTTTGTTAAAACAAACTATTAATATTTAATAATTTTAGTACATATACAGTGTATATACACATACAAAATATTCTATAGTATTTATTACATTATATAAATATGTAAATTAAAATATATATATATTTACTAAACAAATATTTAAAAATTTCAAATTATTACCATTAAAAAAATTATATTATATAATAGATTTCATTCATGACATTTTATTTTATTCAATTGTAACTCATAATGAAATTTAACGAATAGAGGCAACATATTGTGATTTATTAGATATTTAAAGACACGCCCTATTAATGTGAAATACACATTAAAATAATAATAATAATAAATAATTTAATGAATAGGTGATTAATAATATTGTAATATTACCAATATTATTTTTGACATAAATAATATTGATTTTAATTAAAACTTTTTTTAAAACCAAACATTTAATAATTTGTAAAATTAAAAATTTTGATTAACAATTTAAACAATAAATTAACAAAATAAAAGTTATAAATTATTAAATAAACTGTAATACTTTTAAAGCAAAAAATTATAACGAAACTGATTTTACATTATAACATTATATATCAATTAATTATTTGTATTTATATAATAATAATTGAAAATGCAAAAAGTTTTTCTAAATAATTCAATATATTATATATAATTGTAATATTATTTATATAAAATAGTTGTTTTAAAATATAGTATTATTTATTAAAAATAGATGCTTTACCAGTAAAATATATGATTTGATGAGCAAAATATGTAAAATACATTATATAAAAATTTAAAAAATTTTCTCATTACTTATTTTTTTAGTTAAAAAGTATTTATTTGAAATATCTTTTTTGAACATTTTGTTAAATAAATTACATTATGATAATAATTGCTTTCAAACTGCAGTTTAAATTAAATAATAAAATATATTTTAAATTTAATAACTGTTTTATGCAACCATTGAGTGTCTATAATAGTAACACAAACCACACACACACTAAAAGTAGTCAACAAATAATCAATAATAATAAAAAAAGTGCTACAAATGTGAAAATGTTTTTTAAGAAGTGTGTAATAGATAAGTGTGGACTGTCTGTACAAAGTTGTGATGAAATGGTGTTTGATTACACACACAAAAAATACAGGTGTTTGTTACCAGTGTCACCAGCGATAGACTTGTATGTACTGTATGTATGTATGAATGTGTGATCGATTAGAAAAGGATAGTTAAGATGGTTAGGCCATTATACTTATATTCATATAAATATAATTGTCATACTATGGCACACATGAGACAATCACAACTGAAACAACAACAACAACAAACTAATACACAGACATAGAGCACATCACTGAAAGACACGACACATAACAACAAATAATAATAATAATAAAAAAGTATTTTTTTTCGTATTATACACGACTACTACACGGACAGCCAGTCTATGGGAATCGACTGCTTGTGTTTCATAGCCGACACACAGAATACAACTATAAGAATATTCTATGGCAACACATAGTCAACAACACATTTATGTGTCCATACAGTGCCTCATATATAGCACACACACATACATACTGTACATACATATCGTATATACATACATACAAACAGAGCACACGTAGAATTTCAATCGATTTGAAGATTGTTATATTACATTTACAGTACAATCGCTATATACTATGCGAGTATATTATATGTATGTATGCCTACACTTGTATGACTATGTATGTATGTGTGTGTGTGTATGTATGTGTGTATGTGTGTGTGTGTGTGTGTGTGCACAGGCATAGCCTTATGCTATGAGTACTCATATCAGGGCTAATATATACACACAGAATATACTTTATTACCGCTCAATAAAAAACCTTTAAAACGTGTTTTAACTTATGATTTTTTACTTTATATTTATATATATATATATATATATAAATATAACACATAGAATTTTTTACAAATTTAAAACATTTATTACATTAAAAAAAATAATTTTTGTTGTTAAGTTTATAATTTAAATTTTTTTATCAAAAATAATTGCTTTTTATATTTTTTAACAGTTAATGTCTATCCTAAACATGATTTCTCATACATTTTTAATAACTTTAATAAATTGTTAACTTACTATAGTGTGATAAATATAATAGTAAGTAAATTACTGAATGAGTGAAATATATATATATATATATATATATATATATATATATATATATATATATATATATATATATATATATATATAGAGAGAGAGAGAGAGAGAGAGAGAGAGAGATTTAATATCCGTTTAACTGATTTTGAATATTTAAAAAGGATTGTAATAAATTATGTATTGAATTTATGACAATTACCGGCAAAAGTTTATTTTAAATACAAACAATTTATGTGTTTTAGTTTATGTTTTGACTATTTTTATATATAATACGATGATTTACTATTGATTTATTCAGTCGTTTATATATATTATATAGTAATATAAATATTCATTATTTTCTATTCATTAATACTGTATATGATTATGCATAATTTATATGTATATATATATACATATAATATGTAAGTTTTAAGATTTATATACTGCATATTACTTTATATTATATTAGTTAAAATAATGTAGAGGCAAACAATTTTTAAATATTATTTGTATTATTTTGACTCTAAATTTATCAAACAAAAAATGTCACATTTAATTAATTTAGTTTTGAAAAATTACAGTAAATTTAATATATAATTAATTAATTTATAATTTTGTTTATTTCCAGATAATTGCAGTCGACTATTATTTTTAAAAATTTTTATAAATTATCTGATCATCTAATCATACAATTAATTAAAATATGATCAACTACAATTTTATGTAGTTTAAAATTATTTACAACATTAACATTGGTCAGTTTTAAATCTAACGTATTATAGACCCAAAAAATTGTAATTACTAGCATTGCCATAATAATCGTCGCTGTTTAAGGCTCTCTAATTTTTTTTAAATTTCTAATTTTACTCTTGGCTACTTACAGTTTACAATTTACATTATATCTATTGTGAACTGTAATTACCTAAAATAAAAATCTTTAATTAATATTTAATATATTATTACAAATATTTAATTTGCTATTTTAAATAAATATTTTGTATAAAAKATATATATATATATATATATATATATATATATATATATTATATATCTATGATTTATAGTTCATTTATTTACATTACTATCTTATTTAATATATTTACAATTTATTTGCATTTTTTCATTTATTTGATTCATAGATCATATTTTTAGACAGCAATTGCAATGAGTTAGTTAGACTATACGTAAATTTGTATTTTTGCTATCTTTATAATACACTGTATTAATTTTGTGCCCAAAAAATCTAAATGCAAATAAATTCAAAATATTCAAGTACTTTATTGTACTACTAATAGCTAAGATAGTGTGTAAATAAAAATTCAATTAGTAATGGTTTATTTGAATATAATAAAATTGTATTTTATAGTCAATAAAATGATACATTCAATAAACATTTTCCAAAAAAATCTCATCAATATTTAATATTTGGCAATTTAGATTATTTTAATAAATTTATAAATCTAAAATAATTTATTAAAGTTTTTATCGATAGTATTTTATTATTTTGTATAATTTTAATATTATTATATTTTCTATGTTTTTAATTTTATTCYGAATAAACTTATTCATTGGTTATAAATTAAATAAAATTTACTTTTAATTTAAAGCAAATATATTTTGTAATTTTAAATTCTATATACTCTAACAAATTAAATTGTTTTAGTAATGTCAACAATTAATAGACTATTCACTGATATCATTACATGGTTTATAAATTTTTAATACACTATTATACAGTATAATATTTAATACTTTAAATAATTTATTATTAAAATTTAAACTTGTATAAAAGTAGATCAAAATAGTATTATTGTTTTAATTACGACAATTTATTAAATGTGATAATTAAACATTTTTTCTAGTAAATTTTTAAAAAAATTCAATTTATTTATTGCCAAATGTGTATCAAGTGTTTACCAAAAAAAATGCTATTTTATTTATAAACAAAAATTTATTTGTTGAATCTAAAGGTTTACCATATTCAGCAAAAATATGTGACAAAAACAAATAATAGTTTTAGTTTTTTTGTGAGATAAAAATAAAATATATTTTTTTCTAATCCTATACAAGATTATAATTACTCATTTTCAATGTTAATCCTAATAAATATTAAATTTTTAAATCATTTAAAAATTGATAATTATTTTATATGTATATTACTATATTACTACATTATTACTATAATACTAAACAACAGTCTTATTTCGATATACTGTATATTATTAAATCATTAATTAATATAGTAATTAAAATAACAAATAATTTGTTGACTTCAAATAGCAATAAACCCATAATAGTAAGTGCAAAGTAGTCTATAAAATATTGTTTAAAACTAATTACCTTTGATAGGGTTGTAATTTTATGCTATAGATAAATCCCATCCTTTTACTAGTCTAATGTAAATTATATCTTATATACTGTATATATATATATATATATACTAAAAAAACTTTATCACTGACATTAATATAAGAAAGTTTTTGTTTCACATTTAAAATTGTGTTTATACTATACTGATCTATAGTTTATTTATTTTTACTGTCTCTTTCTATTTGT